CTAATACAAAATTTCAAAATTCCGTCTTTTATGCCAATCATCACACTAACGCCTTCACTCTTACTTTATCCTTAACAGAAGGACGAGCGGGCATTGCCTGGGGACCTTCTAGCTATAAGATGCTCTTTCTCCCCCACAGATATCGAAATGTCTCTCACTTCTCCCCCACCAATTTCCTCTTTCTCTCTGTCTCTCTTCGGCTTCAAAGGGTTAGAATTCTACACGGCTGTAGTTTAATTATTTATTGTCGTCTGCGCTGAATCCATCGCGTCGAAAGATAAGACGATTTATCAATAGGAAAAGATATAGAAATACGTAAGGAAATTGCAGTAGTTTAATTTAAGATACCTTCATCAAATATCACGGTTTACAGATCTGTAGACTTCATAATTGTATCAAAAATGATACAGTTTTAAGATGCAGTGTAATGTACAAAAGACGGGGGTCACCTCTGTGCTTCCTCTACCTGTGTGAGGTCACGTAAACCTCCTCCGCATCCTCCAAGAGGCGAATGGACCGAGTTTTCTACTTTCCTCAATTTCCTCATTCCACGAAAATCTCTTTCAGCTCCCACAAAAGACAATTCCACCTCCTTCCGAAATAGAAGTCGTCGGATCTCTGTCCCATCTCCTTCTGCTGGATACTTAATTAAGAAAAGACAATTATTAAAACTGGAGCTTTGCAGACAGGAAACTCCGTACCACTGTAACAGGCGACTCAAGGCTTGAATTTTAATATGCGTACAAAGCTTACAGTTTAAGTCTGCAACAAAAGATATTCTCAGTTCCGCAATGCTAGGACCTCTCTTCCCGTGAACTTGAATGTGTGGTTCAAAAATATACCATCATCCGTGAACAAGTTATTTTGTATAAAAAAAAATAATAGCACGAGGTTCATTGCGTACAAATTTATTAACATACAAAATTAATTGGAGATAATAACAGAATTATTAAACACATGACAAAACCTGAAGAATATTTGTATTACGCCACTTGTACCTCGCAAAATGTTTATTATTTTCTGTTATTCTTTGGTTCTCGTTGGACTTCTTTATATGTCGCGTTATGTTTTCATTTTAACTTCAAATTTGATTGAAACTGGAAATGAACGACGTCCTGTCCTACTATTTTCTGCTTAGATTCATCACTCTCGAGTGAATTTTTATTCCATTGCATCAAAAAGTTGCCTCTCACGACTGTCACAGTTTAAAATCTCTCAACTTTCCAGAATTGATCCAAACAATATGTTGCTTAAATTGGCATACAGCATACAAATACTTCATTTTCTTTCTGTATTGAATTAAAAATATTGTTCAATATCAGAGCTCAAAACGCGACGGTTCTAGTAAAAACTTCAGCTAGAGGTGAATTCGTCGTCTCCTAAACGTTAGGCTACAACACACAAAGTGCTAAAGACAGGCAAAAAGCATGGCGTATTCGTGACGTCATAACTATATGAAAATGACAGTCATGCTGATAGTAGGATTTGAGGTTTCCATGGTGGTCAGTCCGAAGATGGCTGTCTTCATGGTTGTTGTCCCCGTGTAGTGTGATAGAAGTTTACCAACGTTTCAGATCGTCCTGATGATGGAGGCAGCATGGACCTCCGAAACGTGCTGGTAAACTTCTACCTGATTACATGACATACCCAAGAAGACAGCCTCCTTACGATTCTAAAAGTAACTCAAAACGCATTTATCCTCAATAAATTAAACAATTTAATAAAAATACAAGTAAAATTACCTTTATCAATGAAACGAATATTATAACACAAACAGAACGTTCACGTCTTGCCCATATCCCGAAGGAAATTTCAAAAAATCGCATTTACAAAAATTATGAATAAATTAAAATATATGTTTCGCCTAAAATGTGCCTGGAACTGTCTAAAGATGTTCAGACAAATTCAGTACGAAGTAAAAGCCATGTATTCGCCACACTATAAGCACATAAATGGAGCGGAGGTAATCTTCTACAGGAGTGATCTTATATATCACCGCATGATACTACGAGCAGAGCAAAGGAATCATTTTAGAGGTTAATATTCATATAAGCCAGTGCTCTTACGTGTTCAAGGGACACTTACAACTTTCCACTTATTTCAAAATCTTCTCTCTTTTCTTTGCTTAACTCGCGTAGTCCCATTTCTCCGACATTCTTATCCAGCCTCCTTCCCATTCGGTCTGCACCCCCGCCAGCAAACATTTTCATTACAGAAAAAATCCCATTTATCTCTTTAAAAGGTTTTCCAAGGTACGGAGTGAGGGGGGGAGGAGGAGGTCTCAAGTACGAAAGAGAGGGGAAAAGACGAATAAAAAATTAGATGGAACTTGTGTTTTAAAAACCCTACCAAGTAATTCTCAAATTGCAACGTAATTTCTTTCGCTTACTACCTACATACTTCGGTAAAAATAAAAAAAAATTCTGAAATATTTAATATGTTTTACATAATTTTAATAAAAAAGTTAACGTGCCTGTTCCGATCACTACATTTAATTTCAAAATAACTGAACAGATTATCCTAAAAGACACATACATCAGAATTGCGTACACATATTTTTGGGACATTCTGTACACATCCTAAAGAATTCATTAGTTTGTTAACATTTATAATAATTTTTTTATGTTACTCCGTATGCAAACAAACATTTCTACCGACCTCAGCAGGTCTCCAGTATGATGATAAAATGGACATAATATCTAATTCAGATCAACCCTTTAAAACACGTGTATTGCCTACTTAAGTCAGTAATTATGCATTTTGTATTAATAACTTTCGTATGAATTTCACAGTAAACAGCGATTATTTCCTTAAACAGCGTGAACCAGTTGATACTTGTAATGGTGAAGTGTAGTGTTTTCTTCGCGGTACGGACTCACTGTTTAAACATTATGTACGCAATGCGTGTCTCATTATAAACAGCGATTATTTTCTTAAACAGCGTTAACCAGTTGTCTTTTGTAATGGTGAAGTGTAGTGTTTTCTTCGCGGTACGGACTCACTGTTTAAACATTATGTACGCAATGCGTGTCTCATTATAAACAGCGATTATTTTCTTAAACAGCGTTAACCAGTTGTCTTTTGTAATGGTGAAGTGTAGTGTTTTCTTCGCGGTACGGACTCACTGTTTAAACATTATGTACGCAATGCGTGTCTCATTATAAACATCGATTATTTCCTTAAACAGCGTTAACCAGTTGTCTTTTGTAATGGTGAAGTGTAGTGTTTTCTTCGCGGTACGGACTCACTGTTTAAACATTATGTACGCAATGCGTGTCTCATTATAAACAGCGATTATTTCCTTAAACAGCGTTAACCAGTTGTATTTTGTAATGATGAAGTGTAGTGTTTTCTTCGCGGTACGGACTGTATTCTTAAATATTATTTAGACGAACTAAGACTTCAAGGACAAATAAGATATCTTTTTAAATGTCTATTTTTCGCTTCTGTGGACCAAAATACGCTCTGAGACACACAAGAAGCTGGAATGATTGCACCGTCGCAATTAATTTACGTAATGTTCCTCATTAGGACGAGTCGCTTTTTAGTGACACGAGACTAACACAAACTTCGGTTACGTGCGTGAAGGGAGCAATACGAAACCCTGTAACTAATTCTGAGACAGACTAAAGAACGCAGACTGAGGGTGTTTGAGAAGAGGGTTCTGAAGAGATTTGTTTGGATCTAAGAGTGACGAAGTGACAGGAGTCTGGAAAAAAAAAAAAATTACATAACCAGTAACATACAAAATACAGTCAAAAACTTGAAGGGAAGAGATCGCTTGGAAGACATAGGTTGGCGGACGTGGGGAAATTATATTAAAACAGATCTTGCAAATATGGGGTTGAGGGTGTGAAGTAGATACGAACCAGCGGCGAGATGTTCTAAAGACGGTAGTCAGCGTTTTGGTACCATAAAAGGCTGTCGGTTTTTCAATAAATATTATGCGCCATGGTTGTATGAACTTACTTTCCAAGATTTATATAATTCTGCAAACGTCCACCGTTCCTCATTTTCCCTCCATGTTTTGTAACCACAATTAACTGTTTACCTTCCACTTCCATCGTTTGTAGATACAGACAGACATTTATCTGAAATAACGAAACAAATCCTGTTTTAAAGCTTGCGGGACAATGATTGAAGCTACAAACACAGTCTGTCATTAGGTTGATATTGTTGCAATTATGAGCTAAACTAATCAGAGAGGATATTTCATCAATTGTAATAACTGTGAGTGTCACGCAGATGAAGAGAACCAGGTTATTAGCTCCAGCTAGTCTGTGCAGCTTATCTGTGTACATTATACAAAAAAAACCCTCAGTACACGATTTTACAAAGGTTATAACACAATTGCATTGCCAGTAACGATTGCTGTCAACGAATGAAGTATGATTTATCTGCTTTGTTAAATTTTCTCCGCTTAAATTTTATATTAGCCATAATACTTTTTAAAAAAAAAACAGTGGTGGAAATGTAACAGTTCGGGTGAACTTTATGGTGTATGTCGTTAAGCGTATTAAAATTTTATTGGCAATTCTGACATGTTGGATCAGTTCAATATATCAGATATCATGATCCCGTAACACGTTGGCATTAGAGTTAACATAATGTCAATTGAATTGACTGACACATTTAAGGATACACTGAAAAAAAACAAGAACCCCGAAATGGTTTAAGCCTCTCGAAATGGCTAATTGCTGGAAACCCTAAGGATATATTGCACGTAATTACTTCTGTCAAGTACTGCCTTCACTTTAGCATAGAAATGGTCTCTTTCAAGTATTAAAAAATTTACGTACAGTGACATTTGCTACTGTCTGGCTAATAGTGCACTATCAGGGGGCTATAACTGGGGGAATATATAAGAAATGTTTTACTACATAGCAAAATAACGAGGTAATATTATTTAATTTTGTTTAAATTTTAGGACACTCTACACCAGACGACACCTTCATGCTTTATTCCTTACCTTTTTCAAAGGCAAGATTAATTTTCATTCCATTACGGACAGTATTATTTGGTATTCGTGGTATTTGTAAGGCAAATATATAAAATATTTTTTCGAGCCTAGTATAAGCATCTTTTCGTGAGTAACGGAAACTACATATTCCATATTTTAGTACAGTTTATTCGAAGAAATATCCAGGGGATTAACAAGTAATTTCGCTACTTTACAGAAGAATCTTTTCATCACAGAAGACCATAATATGGTTAATTTCGTTCCTTAAAATCCATGATCTGTTATTGCACGGGTGATCTTCGTCATACCCGCGTTTTATATGTATTCGCAGCACGAACACAACCCCCGCGTATAACGAGATTCACCTGTGTAACAAATAAAATACAACAATTATTTATTTTAATCCGTCTGATCACAATATTTAAAATTTCTTATAATTAAGATAATAAAATATCATTGATGTTCCTATAATTTATATATTTTGCATTTTATTCTCTAAATTCTTTTATAAATTCTTTCAAATTCTTTAGTGTTTCTTTCAATCATTTACTTACAGGCCGATATGTACATCTAATAGCATTTAAGAAAAACAACACCTTCGCCCAAAAACGGAAAAACAAACGTAATGAAACATCACCAAAAAAACTACAGAAATCATAATTGAGTTTTAAGTTCTTAGATATATTTTACACCTGATGATGGTTTTATAAAAACCGAAACATGTTGTGTAAATGTTCCGAAATGTAAATCGATCAATCGATATGGAACATCAATGATATTTTATTATCTTAATTATAAGAAATTTTAAATATTGTGATCAGACGGATTAAAATAAATAATTGTTATAATATTCACAATATGACGCAATTATAAATAAAATACAACTATACCTTATTAACATTTTCGTCAACTTATTGAAAATGCAGCCAAATTGTTCTTGCATAACATTGCTAAGTGTGTGTAAAGTATTTCTGTGGGCACACTGCGATTCGTTCACAACCTATGAGCGGGTTGTTCACTGCCTTAGACCGACATATATACAGTAACATAGACCTCAAGAGGGTCACAAAGGGTAGTTTGTTGTTAACGAGCAGCTGTCACCACAGATATCCCGAACGTAACCGTAAGAGAACCCAATTTTGATGCAAGGTTAGGTTCAACACGATTAGCATAATTTACTGCCCCTCCCCAAAGCTTCACATACAAAACACAGCCGACAACAAATGACTGAAGGCAGTAGCGAGTTATTTGCAACAACAAACCTGTCGGTTACATTACGTTACGTCAATTTAAATGTGATTTAGTTCACTAAATTTACAAACACAAGTCACTGCGAGACAGGCAGCTGGTGATGGAATGAGTGTCCTCTCCATACCCACTGGATACGAAGATGGCGAGGTTCTAATGTCGGTCTGGACTCATAGGCTTCAAAGAAAACGGAGATCGAACCCCGGTTTCCCAATCCGTAGCCAGAAACTGACCGACCGAACGACCAAGGCTCAATTCCAATTTGGTGTTACGGACACATGAGATATTATGTAGTGAGGCTGGCTAGATATTTCTCTCCTAGTTGCAATTGTACTGGAGTGTACCTCGTCTGGTCACGACTGTAACCTGCTGATGATGATAAGTCCAACCAACCATCTTCTCAATTTCCCGTTCCCTCTCATTCTAATCCAGACCAGAGAACTGTAGGATCTACTTGCCAGCATAGCACAGCCCAACTCACAAACACGCCTCCTTCTCATAATCTGTCACGTGAGGAACTCTAGCAGACACGACGATGAGAGAGACAGCTCACCTGCTG